ACAAAAAAAAGTGGCACCTGGCAATAGCTAACTAGTTTTTCACTTGATGGCCAATCCCACCTGGGTACTCCCAGAAAAAAAAAAGGGGGGGGGGGAGTGTTCTTCTCAGCTAAAATGAGATGTTGCCATGACAACTCCTGACCTCAAGAGGACGACATATAGAGAGCCAGTTATCCTTCCAATGGTAGGTGGTGAGAACTAGTTTTATTTTATATATGTGCTTAAGTGGAATTTTGGCAAACCAAGAATTATAAATATACAAGAAAGGCTCTACACAGAATTGCTAATGGAAAGAAGACTCCTATAAAATAGAGCACTGTTTCATCATCTAAATCATGTCCTCTAACTTTCTTTAGCTCAGATTTTTTCATATTTGGTCTCTTTAATTTTAGAGTTAATTTCAAACCATGACACAAACTGCACTGCTGTTTAGATGCTCCAGTCATTCCCCTATCACACTTCGCTCTACTGTCATTAACTGTTAAGTTCCTTCCGGAGACTGCAGCAGGAACTGAAACCTCATTTGGGAGGACAGAATCAGGAAATTCTTTAATCTCCAGCAGTCGCCGTACCTGCCAACCCACTTTCTTGCCTCAGAAGTCCTGGTTTTCACACACTGACAACTGCTTTCTATCATATCAGAGTTATCCGTGTTTGGCTTCGTTGTTTTTTAATATCTATTACTCTCCTATTTTATTTAGCCAGCTACTTTACTAGCTATTTTATAACAAAGATTAAAGGTATTTCCTAAGTGCCTCTCAAATCAAAATATCACAAACCCCACACCAACCAGAATGGCAGAAATCTTAATACTACCATAATGTTTAGTAACTGGAGTTCTCAGACACTGTTGGTGGGATTGTAAACTAATATAACACTCTGGAAAACTGTTGTAGACTCTATTAATGCTGAAGTAAGCAGGGCCTATGAGCAAGCAATTCCACTCCTAGGCATATACACAACAGCATGCATAAACATGTGTAACAGTGTTCACAAAAGCTCTATTCATGACAGTCCAAAACTGAAAACAGGGCTGGCCGAGTGGCTTAGTTGGATAAGAGTTTGCTTAAGAGCACGAGCTCTGAACAACAGGATCGCTGGTTCGATTCCCACATGGGCCAGTGAGCTTTGCCCGAGCTGCCAACTTGGCAGGATGGATCAGCTGGTGAGAGCACATGCTCCTAATGACAACATTGCCTGTTCGGTGGTGGGCTATGCCCACCCACGGCTGGAGAACTGAACTCAGCACATTGAGCTGAGATGCCACCTGGATGGTTCAGTGGATAGAGCGTGCGCTCTTAACAGCAAGGTTGCCAGTTCGACTCTCACATGGAAAAAATTTAAAAACTAAAAAATTAAAAACACTGAAAACCCAAATGACCAGTAACAGTAGAATGGATAAATTCTAGTATTTCTATATATTAATAAAATGAAACAAAATTCAACAATAAAAATGAACAAATTACTGCCACATGAAATAACATGGATGAATCTAACAAACATCATCAGGCAAAGGAAATTAGACACAGAAGGAAATCTGCTTCCATTTACATGAGGGTAAAACCAGGCAGGATCTTGCTATGCTGAAAGAAGTTTACATTTGGGAGGGGTGAGGGGGTTCCCTTTGCAGGGGCTTCAACGAAAGGGAATTTCTAGGGTGCTTATAATGCTCCATTTCCTGTGGTAGTTACACAGGAGTATCCATTTTGTGATAACTTATCAAGTTATACACAATTTGTGCAATTCTATCTGAATATTATTCTTAAAAAATAAGTTAACTTAAAAATACTGTGAAACTCAAAATAAAGCAATACTTAAATCACTTCACTTGCTTTTAACATACTAAAGACCTATGTTTAAACAATTCATTCTCACTACTGAACAGAACTATAAATGAATGCATCACGGCATTTGCTTAAGACAAATGAATAACTACTTTTTTCACAGTTCCAATAAAGCGTACCCCAACTGGTCTATACAACCAACCCAAGACAATAGGATGCTCTAAGGGCAAAATTCCAATATCTCCTTTTTATGTTATTTTAAACACCTACTTTAAGGAACTTCCACCAGAAAACTTTACTATTTCTGGAAATTTGGCATTTTTATTTGTGAAAGACCCTAAAATGTAACTCTAGTATACAAAAATTGAGAGCTTGAAAAATAAAGAACAAAAAATATCAAGCAGAAGTTTTTGGACATATTTCCAGAAGATAGCAGGTACTTGTGATTAGAGTAGAAGTTTATCTAAAGCATAGAGAAAAATGACACTTACTCCTTTTTTCCTTTTTCTTAAATTTTCCTTTTTTCTTCCCATAGTCTTTCTCATCATCAGATACTATGTCAGGAGGCTCATGGAGGCTGTCATGGGGAGGCGAGGGCTCACCAGTGCGGTACAATCCAGGAAATTTAGTAGGGCTGATCTCCTCAGAGCTGGGGGTTCGGGTGAGACCACTGCCATGTTCCACCCTGCGGTGTTCACTAGGGCTGCTGGTGGGGGGCAGGAAGCACTCAGTCATTCTGCCTCCCTGATGAGATAGTGAAGAGGGCTTCTCTGTTACCTATCCATTACACCTGGATAGAGGGAAAAAAGATCATCAGAGTCATCTAACACCAACCAAAGCAGGAAAGCACCACAAACACACAACACAGCAATTAATCTTGCATTTACAAATCAAAAATACTTTTTTCATTACCCTCCTTTAAAAAGACGCTTTTATTTTATTATCTCGTTACATTCCATGCATTATACAGTTTAGTTCTCAAATAGTTGAAAGCCCTGGAATCTTCAAGTATTAGAAAAATAAATCAAATGAAAATCAGAGCAGAGTACTCAAAGTAGAATACAGAGTTCCTTTTTAAAAAGAACTCACCACTGTAAAGGATTTCATTTTATTGCTATCCAACATAAAATCTTGCTGTTTTTCTTTAAGCTATGACCAAACAATTATAAATAAATTACTAAGACTATTTATATAACTAACTACACATGAATAGTTTGGTATAAAAATTAAAATTTACAATACAGTTTAAATGATATATTTAATGATTCACACAACTATAGATCATTAGTATAGGTCTATGTTGCAAGCAATTAGTTCATGTGTTCATAATAACTATTTTATTTTGTACTACAGTACAAAATATAGTACCTCATTTGCTCGATTTAAAATACACACAAAATAGATTTCACTAGAATGACACTTACAAACATTAAGAATTAAAGGTTTGCATTTTTTTCTTTAGATGGAGGGTACATAGTGAAAGTACTGTGTTCATAAATTGCTTGGACTAGTTCTTATGATATTCAATTGAAATACTATTGGAGGGTGGGCTAAGTGGCTGAGTTGGTTAGAGCGCGTGCTCTTAACAACAAGGTTGACAGTTTGAAACCGAAATGCGATGGTGGGCTGCGCTCCTGCAACTAGATTGAAAACGGAGACTGGACTTGGAGCTGAGCTGTGCCCTCCACAACTCAGATTGAAGGACAGCTTGACTTGGAGCTGATGGGTCCTAGAAAAACACAGTGTTCCCTTCCCCAATTCCCCAACACTGTTCCCCTCTCCAATCCCCATAAAATCTTTAAAAAAAGAAAGAAAAGAAATACTACTGGAATTATTTGTTTCTCTTTGTACTCACTTTTAATGTTATTTTGCAATTTTAAAAACCCACAACCTATAAATAACAGGACTGATAAATCTGACCATAACAAAGTCAAAAGACAAACAAATGTGAAAAAAAAAATAGCAAATTGTAACCAAGAGCTAATTTCTATAAAAAGCAAACAGTTCTTCCAAATCAATTAAAATATAAACAAATCAAGAGACCTGCACAAAGCATTTGAACAAGTAAACAGTTCATAGAAAAATGACTAATATCTGTATAAAAACAATGTTCAACTACAATTATAATTTTTAAAACAAGTTACCATTTTCCTAACATCAGATTAGCAGAAAACAAAAAGATGTGTAACAGCCAGTGTTGGTAAAGATATGAACAGGGACTCATGAGAATATCTACTAATAGGAAAAGTATAAATTAGCAGAATCTTTTTTGAAAAGCAAGTTGGTAATATCTACCAAAATTTTAAATGTATTCTCTTTGACACGGGAATTCCTCTTTCAGAAACTCTCAGATATACTTTTACAAGAACTGAAGAAATGGATGAATCTCTAATTATTATTACAGAACTCCTCTCAGTAAATGATAGAACAAGCAAATAGGCAAATATATCTGAGCTATGACACAAAAAGCACAAATCATCAAACACAAGTTGATAAATTAGATGTCATCACAATTTAAAACTTCTACTCTTTGAAAGAAAATTAAATTAGAAAAATTAAATGGCGAGCCACACACTCAGTGAAAATATCTGTCATACACATAGCTGACAAAAAACTCATTTCTTCAGAAAAAATGAGTGTGTGTGTACATATACTGTATTTTCCCCAAAATAAGACCGGTTCTTATATCAATTTTTGCTCCAACAATCTATATTTATTCATTTATTCATGTACAAAAATCTACATTTATTCAAACAGTCATGTCTGGCTGATGATCTTAACTGGAGCTTATGTTTGGGGTAGACGGCTTATATTACGAGCATTCTGAAAAATCATGCTAGGGCTTATTTTACGATTAGGTCTTATTTTCAGGGGAAAACTGTATACTATATATATTTGACTTATTAAATATTATATATCCGTAAGGTACTATCTTTTTGGGGTTTTTTGTTTGTTTGTTTTTTTGTTTGTTTTTTTGTTTTAGCTGAGCCATCCTGCCACCTGTTGGCAGCTCAGCGGCTGCTCAGCTCGGGCTGGACTCGAACTGCTGTTGCTCAGAGCTGTAAGGTACTATCTTATAAATCAATAAGACAAATAACTCAAAAAATAATGAGCAAGATATATGAATGGATATTTCACCCAAGAAAATATACAAATAGTCAAAAGCACACGAAAACAACGCTCAATATCACTACTCATTAGGGAAGTGCAAATTCCAACCAATAACAAAATACCACTCTACACTCACTACAATTAAAAGCACTGACAAGGGCCAGCCAAGTGGCGCGTTGGTTAAGAGTTGGCTTGGGACACCAGTTCTGAGCAGCAGGGCCCGGTTTGGATCCCACAAGAGGGCCAATGACACTGCGCCCTCTACAGCTAAGATGGTGAACAGCTCAACCTGAAGCTGGGCTGCTGTAAGTGGGCAGCGACAGCGTAGGCTTCAGCCCGTGCTGCAGTGGGCTGCCATAAGCTACCGTGTGTGGCTGGCAGCCAGTGTGAGCAGCCAGCAGCCGGTGTGTTCTGCCGTGAGCCTCTGGTGGCTGTCCAGAAGCCGGCGACAGATCTGCCTTACCCGGGAAGAGCGCAATGATAATACCAACATGAGCCAGTGAAGCAACGTCCTCCACAACTAGACTGAAGAACAAAAGCAACTTGTCTGTTCCCCTTCTCCCTATTCCCCAGCGCTGTTCCCCTCCCCCAATTCCCCAATAAAATCTAAAAAATGAAAAGCACTGACAATACCAAGTGTTAGTGTGAATGTGGAGCAACTACTACTCTTATCTGTTGTTGGTGGGAATCTAAAATTGCACGACTGCTTTAGAAAAGTGCTTAACAGTTTCTTATAAAATTAATATACACTTGTATCACTTAACAATTCCACTGTCAGGTATTTACTCAAGAGTAATGAAAATGTAAGTCTACACAAAGTCTTGTCAATGAAATTTCATAGTACCTTTATTCACAGTAGAATGGAAATAACTCAAATATCTGTCAACAAGCAAACAATTAACATTATAGTATATCCTTATAACAGGACATTACTCAGCAATAAAAAGGAACAAATTACTGATAGACACAACAATATAGATGAATATCAAAAACAGTAATAAGCAAAAGAATCCAGATACAAAAGAACACACATTGTATAAGTCCATGTATATGGAATTCCACAACAAGCAAAACTAATGTGTAGTGACAAAAAGCCAATCAGTGGAGCTGTTGGGCCAGATGTGGCCAACCAGGAAGTGCATGCAAAAGAGCATAAGAGAATCTTTGGGGTGATAAAATGCCCCATATCATGACTGTAGTGCTGGCTTCATAAGGTATACAGTTATCAAAACACAAAGAACTGTACCCTTTCAACTGGGTGAATTTTATAGTATGTAAATTATACATCAGTAAGGTAGAAAAAAACTTTTTGAAAGAAATTGATGAGCTGATTCTAAATTTTTAGAAATGAAAAGAGCTTAGAATAGCCATACCATCTTGAAAAGACAGTTACTAAAGCAAAAGTAACGAAGACAGTCATTAAAGATAGACAGATTAATGGAACAAACCAGAAAATTCAGATAGAGACCCACATGTATATAAGTCAATTGATTTTCAACAAACGTTTCAAAGGAATTCATGGGGGACAGGAAAGTCTTCAACAAATGGTGCTGGATAAACCATGTGGGGGAAAAAAGAAGCTCAGCCCCCTCTATCATATCATACACAAAATGTAATTCATGATAAATCACAGACCCAAAATGTAAAAGGTAAACACTGCAAAACTTCTAAAATAAAACACATATATATTTTTAACTTTATTGGGGAACAGGTGTGTTTTTCCGAGGACCCATCAGCGTCAAGTCAAGTAGTTGTCCTTCAATCTTAGTTATGGAGGGCACAGCTCAGCTCCAAGTCCAGTCGCCATTTTCAATCTAGCTGTGGGGGGCACAGCCCACCATCCCATGCAGGAGTGGAACCGGCAACCTTGTTGTTAAAGTGCACGCACTCTAACCAACTGAGCCATCAGCCACCCACCAGCAGCTCAGGGGCAGCTCAACTCAAGTCAGTTGTCTTCAATCTAGTTGCGGACAGCGCAGCTCACTGGCACAAGTGGGAATCAAACCGGCAACACTGTTGCTCAGAGCTCACGCTCTAAGCAACTGAGCCACCCCCTAAAAAACATATTTTTGAGACCTTGGGGTAAGAATTTCCCAGACAGGTCCAGAAAGCATTAATTACAAAACTAAAAACTGACAAATTGGACTTTATCAAAAGTAAAAACTTCTGCTCATCAAAAGACACTATTAAGAAAATGACTAGTCGGTCAAGGTGGGGGTCGAAAATGGTGGCGGTGAGGCAGGCTCCCTGAGTTCTACCCTGGAAATCACCGCAATTTGAACTGCTGGAGCGCAGCAAACAAACTTCTACCAAGCACGCTGAGCAGCAAGGGACTCCCACACCAAGTATTTAAAGTTGGGCAGATCGGGGGAGTGGGGGAAGAGGGAGGCGAGGCGCATGGAGGCGGCTGCTGAGACTAAGGGTCTCAGAGAGCAGTTCAGAGAGTTCCCGCGGCTCGCTCCCTACACCTCCGGCTGGAGTGTGCTAAGACAATCCTCAGACCGGGCGAGCACAGGAACAAACAGGAGAGGGTGAGCTGAAATGAGGTCTGTCTGCGCCCCCACTGCGGAGCTGTAGGAAGCCAGGACACTGCGTTGGCGTTTGAAGCTTGGGGCAAGCTCAGCCTCTGGGCTGACCTTCCGGCCAGGAGTGCACAGAAGCCCCAGGGCGCGCGCAGAC